TCTCTAACATAGTTTTACTGTTTTTTATTGAAAGTTTGGTTTTAAAAAGTTGGTCCAAATGATCGTCAGGAAGAGTTGCTGATTTATGACATTAATACTAATATTAATTATACTAATCTTGGTTTATGGCTAGTGTATTATTATCATGCATGGTTTAGAAAAAAATCTAAACAGATTTTAAAAGAGTTTGATAATTTTTATTTAAAAAAGTATCCTTTTGATACAAATACATGAAACCATTTTATAGGTGATATCTATGAATATTGGAGATTTGCAAGTCCGTCAACAGAAGAGCTAGGTTTGGTTATGACCTGAATTTTTGGGATATATGTAAATGCTACTGCTATAAAACAACTTTGGAGTTGTATAGGATTTCTACAAAGTAATCAATGTAACCAATTAGTGGTAAATATAATTTTATGTATATGTTGTACATCAAATTAAAATTTGCATCAAATTAAAAACTTAAACCCTTAAATATATATTCAAACTATTATCTTACTAAATTAATATTAGCCAGAAAGAGCCTTAAAAATAAGCAAATTACATGCTGATATCATATATAATCATCGGCTTCAATCTACAAGTTAAACATATCTATATAAAGATGTTTCTGAGCAGCAGCAATCTAATATAGTTATCAAAATAGATTCTGTCAAACAAGCTAACGCTAATATTAAATAAACTAATGCTAATATTAAACAAACTAATACTAATATTGAACAAACTAACACTAATATTAAAATGTCAACTTCAGTCTGTGAAAATAACATTTCTTTCAAAAATGTGAAAATAGATATATCAGAAAATGTAGAATTAGAAGATAAATCTTCAGAAAATATAGAATTAGGAAAATATATAGATAGAGAATTAGATGAACAAACAAATATTTTAAATTTTGATAACTATTTGCAAGAATAGATTGAAATATTAGAGGAAGAAAGGCAATGATTCAAAGATGAGAGCATTGAAGAGGAATATGTGGATGATGAATTTTCTGTAAATGATATTCATCTCGTGGTTAACAAGAATATAAAATAGAAATTGGGTACTCTTTTCAAAAAATTAGAGTTAGGTAAAATTTTGGACACTAATAATAGTTAAGTAAAATGTAGATAAGATCATATTCATTCTTAGTGTTATATTGCTAAATTGTTATTATATATTATTTAAAATGCAGGAAAAAATATTCATTAATGAAGGCTACATAGTATTTGAATCTGTTTTCTCAATATTAGAGAACTTTTAATATATTCAATATAGTTATTTTATCAGATAACATAAACTTGGGTTATATTATCAAAATGGGTATAAAATATTATCTATCAAGAAATATTATTGAATAGCTACAAAAAGCAAAAAATAATAATCTTCAAAAGGCAGTAAATTATGAAATTATCATCTAGTAGTAACTTATATCAATTTTGATTATTACAAAATCTTATATGCTTAACGTTTATACTATATATATATATAGAATTGATTTTCTTTAGAAATTTGAAGTAAAATTATTCTGTTAAATATTATAATACTAGCCTATAAAATTTTGAATTTAAATTTAATCTTGTCAACTACTTCTCTATCAATTCAGATACTGTAACTTTGTAAAATATAAAAGTCATGAAATTGTTAAAGCAGCATTGGGATTTGTTTAAATGTGATTATATTTGTCAAACGTGAAAGTATAATTTTATCACTATAAATTTAAAGCTTTTTTTTATTGAATACTTTTATATAATGTTTTTTTAATTGCCACAATCACAGTTAAATTTGATATTCACAAGGTTACATACATAATAATAGAATTTATATATATGCATTGTTTGCTCATATTTTATTAGCATATGCGTATATAAATAGTCTTAGCATGACTGCATAGTCTTATAATATTTTTATAGCATTTATTACTTGATATTTATGAACTGGTTCTCGCAATCAATGTTGTGTACAGACTGGAGTGGCGTACAAGCACTTTATGATGACACAGAAATGACAAAAGTAAGGTCTGATTCTTCTTTTGATCATGCAATCACCAAACGATGGTCCAAGTCATGAGATATAAGCGCTGCCAAGAAAATCCTGATTTTGGGTTTTTTAATTATTACTAATTAGATTCGGTCTAGACTAATCTAATTTAAAAGTCCAGTTTAAACACTATGCTTATAGAAATTTTTATTATTATTATTTTGAACATATATATTATCTTGGACATAATTTTGTTTGTTTATGAACATAAAATGTCTATGTTCAAAAAATGTCCATGTCTATGTTCATTGACATCACTGGTTTTAGATATGTAGTTGAATATTTGAGAGAGGTTGTAGATAGAAAGCCTATTCATGTTCAAAATTTTGATTTGTTGGATTGAGTTTAGTCCAGTTGTTAAAATGTTTCTTGGTTGCTTGTTTTATTTCTTTTAGGTCAGTAATTATTTTGACTGGAGTAATTATTTTGTCATATGAGATATTTGCTTTCTTTCAATTGAGTATGCTATTGATCATCCTTGAGGTATTTGTTTCCATATTATTGTAATTTTTTTGGATATAGAAGTTTATTTTTTTTTTTTGTGCTGCTTTTGTTTCTATACTTCGGGCTTTCCATATTGTGTTTTTTAAGTTTTTTAGTTCTGTGAGGAAGTGAGTATAGTTGAAGATTAGGTCTGTAGATTGGCAGAGTGTTACTTGTATTTCTGTTAGAGAAGGTATTTTTTCTAGAAATGTGTTAATTATTTGAACCATGTTAGCTATTAAGCTTGGGAGTTGGATAGTGTGGGTAATATGAATTGTATTGTTAATAGTTTTGAGTGCTGTGTATAGCTTAGTGGCTTTTGCAGAGAATGTATAAAAAGTTTTGTATAATTTGAGAATTGTAGGTATTTCTCAATTAGTGACTCTTTTGATTGTATTTAACTATATATTTCAATATTTGTTGAGTTGGTTATAGTTTTCTAGAGCAGCTGAGATATTTAGAGTTTTGAGTTTATTTTTTACTACTTTAGAGAAGTCTTGCCAGGATTCGAAGTCCATTTGGTTATAGAGATAAATTTTTCTTTTCTTTTTTTTTGATCTTGGAAGTTTGAGATTAAAGTTAGTTGTTCAAGTGGTTTGTATAATTTTGTAATTACTATCTGTGATCTCTGTAGAATTGATTAGTGTAGGTAGACTAAAGTTAAGTATAATTTCTGAGTTAACCCAGATGTCATCAATTTGGCTTTGTTGGGGGCTATGTTTTCAGATTGGTTCTGTAATCAAAAAGAAATTTAATAAACTAGAAGATGATAAAGACTATAGGGTAGAGAATAATTTAGATATCCTTTTACAGCATTTTGTGTTATCATTGAAATCTCCTAGTGTGATAGATGCCAATTTTTGTATCTTGCTTCTAGTAGCCAGTTTGCGATTGTGTTTTAGGTTAATGTCAACTGATCCAGGTGGTTGGATAGTAAGTAAAGTGATATAAGTCAGAGTTTGTTGTTGGCTAGAAAGTGAAAGTCTATGCATAGAGCAGTGTTTGGAAAGATTTGTATATTGTGGATATATGGTTGTAGTGCTTTATGTAGTGCGATTGCCATGCTGAGACTTGCTTCACGCTGTATCTTGTTTTTTAGAGAAAAATTTTATGTATATATGTTGTAGTATGGGTTCGAAAGTAATGCTGGGGCTGAATTCTTTAGTTTAGTTTGCATTAGCAAAATATATAAATGAAAACTTATGTAAATTATTATGATCCAAAATATTGCAGAATAATTATGGTCTATGCAGGATATTTTGAAATAAATTACGAAATATTACGAAATATATTTCAAAATATTATGAAATATTTTTCAAAATATTATAAAATATTTTTCGAAATATAATGTAAAACAATTTGAAATATTTCGTAATATTTTGAAATAATTCGAAACATTTTGCAATAAGCTAAGTTAACTTTTGAAATATATTTCATAATATTTTGATAAAGATTACGTAAAATTACAAAATCAATAGTAATATTATTTAAAATAATTTAATTTATTTTGAATCTATTTGAATCAATTTGACTTCACTAGACTTCATAAAAACAAGTCAACAAATGTTTATAAACTTAAAATAATTTATTTGATTGTATAAATATAAATTAAAGTGAAATAATCAAATTATTGCAAAATAATTGCAATATATTTAAAATGAGTAAATTTAAATTATATTAGATAAATTTGAATTAATTCGAATTAATTTAAATTTATTAAAATTTGTTCAATTATTTTATTATTTTATTTTATTTAAATTTTAAAAATTACATATAAAAAAAGCTAAATTATATATAATCCTATATAAAAAATAAAAAACAAAAAGTGCAGCATTATTTAATTAAAAAAAAAAAAACAAAATAAAACAAAACTTTTACTTATCATTATCCGAATCTTTCTCATTATTATCTAAAACATCTTTATTATCTTCATCATCCAAGGTTAAAGAATTATCATCATCAGGATCATTTTCACTTGCTTCTGGTTCTTTGTCTTGGTCTTCATTATCTTCATCCGATTCAACTTGAACAACTTTGGATTAAAAATAATCATTTTTAGCAAATTCAAACTAGTTTGAATTAATTAAAATTTATGTACAATAATTTAAAATATTACTTACCAACTTTTGGCCTTTTATTAGTCTAAAATAATTTATAAAATTTAATATATTTGAATTTAATAAAATAAATTAAAAAAAAAATTATACCTTTTCAGATTTGTTTGAATCTAATTTACATTTTCTAACTTGAACTTAATTGATTTGAATATATATTAATAAATTTAGAAAAATAATTATGTCAAGTAATTTAAATAATTTAAACTTTTTTTACTTTATCAACTTTATCTGAAGACTTGTCTTTACTATTTTCACTTTCTTTGGATCTTGAATTATCTTCAGAACTTATAGAAAAAGGTTTAATTTCTTCTAATAATTTTGAATAGGTTTGAATTGTTTCAAATTAAATTAAAAAATTTAAATATATTTAAATTAATTATAAATAAATACTTACTAAATTTCTTGCTAGTAATTTTTTAACAACTGTATCTGAAATAGTTATTTTTTTATAATCCAGATTTAATATAGTTTGAGCTATAGCAATTGCAAATGCAACCTTTTCTGTTGTTGCATCTGTATTAGGCAAATTTTCTTTAATATTCTTGTCATATATGTCTCTTCTGAACCTTCTTCTACTTCTTCAAAAAGTAATTTGTAACATTTTTTTGTTTTACTTGAGCTTTTCTATAATCATACTGCTTTGGATGAAGCTATATTATTTATAGGTTCTAATAATTTACCAAAAGAGAAAAAGGTCAAATTCTTTATCTTGTTAGTTAATGTTTCCTGCAATGCTCTAATTTTTTCCAATAGCTAAAAATATAATAATTTAGTGAAATAATCATTTAATATATTTTGAACTGTTTCAAATTATTTTAAAATAATTCGAACAGTTTTGAATTATTTTAAAATAATTCGAACCAATTCGAATTATTTTAAAATAATTCAAAACAATTTGAAACAACGAAAATATAAAATTAAATAAAAAGGTTTTACTAGTCTATAGATATTCTTCGCATAATATACATTCCACTGATTCTGCGTATATCTTTTGTAATCTTCTTTATAATTAGTCTTGATATAAATCTACTGCCTTTCTCATATGGTCTTCTTCAGGATAAATTGCTTTAGTTATAAGTTCTTTTGCTACACCTTTAATTGTATCTTATAAATAAAATTGATTAAAAATTATTTAAAAAATTCTATTATCTTTAAATAAATTATTATAATATTAAAATGATAAATTAAAACTAAAAAATTACTTTTTTAAAGGTTTTTTTATTAGAAAAATCAAAGTTATTTTCTAATTTCTTCACAATTTCTTTTAACCTAGATTTTATACTTCTTACTTGCTCT